TCTTTCCACACTCCAGGCATTTAAATGGCTTTTCCCCAGTGTGGATCTTTTTGTGAATTTCAAGTTTACTGCTGAGAGCAAAGGTCTTTCCACACTCCAGACATTTAAATGGTTTTTCTCCTGTATGGATTGTTTTGTGTATTTCAAGTTTACTGCTGAGAGCAAAGGTCTTTCCACACTCCATGCATTTATATGGCTTCTCCTCTGTGTGGATCTTCTCATGGGAAATAAGATTACCTTTTTGAGTAAAGGTCTTTCCACAATCCATGCATTTATAAGGCCTCTCCCCTGTGTGGATCATTTTGTGGGTAGTAAGTCCATTACTATGAGCAAAGGTCTTTCCACACTCCAAGCATTTATATGGTTTCTCCCCAGTGTGGGTCCTTCTATGGGAAGTAAGAATGTTGCTCTTAGTAAAGGTCTTTCCACACTCCATACATTTATATGGCCTCTCCCCTGTGTGGATCATTTTGTGGGTAGTAAGTCCATTACTATGAGCAAAGGTCTTTCCACACTCCAAGCATTTATATGGTTTTTCCCCCATGTGGGTCCCTCTATGGGAAGTAAGAATGTTGCTCTTAGCAAAGGACTTTCCACACTCCATGCATTTATATGGCGTCTCTCCTGTGTGGATCACCTTATGGGAAATAAGATTACCTTTTCGAGCGAAGGTCTTTCCACACTCCATGCATTTATATGGCTTCTCCCCTGTGTGGATCACCTTATGGGAAATTAGATTACCTTTTTGAGCAAAAGTCTTTCCACACTCCATGCATTTATATGGCTTCTCCCCTGTGTGGATCTTCTTATGAGAAATAAGATTACCTTTTTGTGTAAAGATCTTTCCACACTCCATGCATTTAAATGGCCTCTCCCCTGTGTGGATCATTTTGTGAATAGTAAGTCCATTACTATGAGCAAAGGTCTTTCCACACTCCATGCATTTATATGGTTTTTCCCCAGTGTGGATCCTTTTGTGGTTTCTGAGGTTACTGCTCTGAACAAAGGCCTTTCCACATTCCAAGCATTTATATGGCTTTTCTCCTGTGTGGATCATCTTATGGGAAATAAGATTACCTTTTCGAGCGAAGGTCTTTCCACACTCCATGCATTTATACGGCTTCTCCCCATTGTGGATTATCTTATGGAAAAGAAGAGTACTATTTTGAGCAAAGGTCTTTCCACACTCCAGGCATTTATATGGCTTCTGTCCTGAGTGGTTCCTTTTATGGAAAATACGATTACTATATCTTCTGAACCTTTTTATAGCATCTTCTCCTTTGTTTTGGATTAAATAGTATTTTTTGACATGTAATTTAGCTTTAATTAGCTTCACACATTTTCCAATATATTTTTTCCGTATTTTCTCTTGTTGGGCATTAAAGTCTTGCATCGGAGCATCAGTGGAAGATGAGCTTTTCTTATTCCAATTATTTGACTGGTTTCTCTCATGGCTTTCTAATTCCACTTGAATTCCAAATTTCTCTGTTCCATCATTAGCATTGATCCCTTGGGACAGTTCACAGGAATTTTGATTGTCCTGCCCGTTATTACCTTCAAAGGAAAAGAGAAATGAAAATGATTAACAATGTTAGAGGAAAAAGTTCAAACTGTAGAAAGTCAACAAATTTTCTTTTGAACTTTTCTAAAATTCCATTATGTTGTATTTTGCATCCCTACAGTGCTGTGATATAGACATGATGATTTCTATATTCATGAGTCATGAAACTTTGAAAATATCTAGAAAATATCTTTTTCTTTACAATTATTTATATATATGCAAAACTCTCTCAAAGTCAGTTTTGAGTTAAGGAATAATCAGGAGTAATCAGGGGAAACATCCAAGGAGGAATTAGGAGAAAACTTAACATTTATTGGGGTGGGTTAAGGCTAGTTCACTGTCCCAAAGCCTCATCGGCTTTCAAGGGCTCTTCTCAGTTCACAGAGAATAGTCCCTAAACTACTTTAGTGCGTGATCACACAAGATCAGTAGTGCAAGATCTCATGTTACTGATCTCTCACTATAGTACTTTAGGACTATGTTCTCTACCGAACTGAGGACTGCATGAGATCTGGGCAAAAATGTTTAAAACTAAAGACCCCTGACCTCTGTTTGCAAAGCCTTTTGACCTGGATCTCATGCAGGCCTCAGTTAGCAGAAAACAGACGCCTAAAGTATATAGTGCGAGATTTTGCAGGATCAGTAGCATGAGATTTCACACTACTGATCTTGCATGATCTCTCACTACTTTAGGCCTCTGGTTTCTGCAAATGCATCAAGGCAGGCAAAGGAACCAATGGCTTACTACATTGTCGCAAGTTTAGTCTCAGGGCGGGAGGGTGAATGACAGCCATAGTGCTACAAAATTGATAATTTGGGGGCTGGCTCTTAAGTACTTGGGGGGGTAGTCCTAACTTCAAATGGTTGCTAAGTGAACTGTCTTAACTCGGGATTACCTATACCCTAGGATGCTCTGAGTCACATTGCATGAGGCCTTCATTTTTGAATTGATTTGGGACAATGCTCTTCCTTGGCCTGAGCATGAAAGTTCTGTACTCACACAATTTTTGGAGGTTTCAGAGTAAGAATAATGGATAGGATAGGACAGGACCGAACAGGATAGCATAGGGATAGAAGAATAGGACTAAGACTAGGACTAGTATAGACTCATGTACATAATAGCTATAAGTGATAAATCATGATCGTCATAAAAATACATCATAAATCATAAGATACAACACTTAGTGATAGTCATAGGACACTAAATAAGCAATCAACATGAACCATGCAAGGAAACTAAATAAAACAATATAAATCGCATAGATACAAGTAACAAAGTTATAGAGAAAAAGAGATAGGTAATAAGAAAAATGAGAAGAATAGTAATACAGTCTTACTAAATAGTTTAACAGTGTTGTGGGAATTAGTTGTTTAATAGAGTGATAGCATCAGGGGGAAACTGTGTCTAGTTGTTCTGTGGTGCAGTGCTCTATAGCATCGCATTGAGGGTAGAAGTTAAAACAATGTATGTCCAGGATGTGAAGGGTCTGTAGATATTTTCACAGCCCTCTTTCTGGTTTGTGTAGTATACAGGTCCTCAATGGAAAGCAGGTTGGTAGCAATTTTTTTTCCTGCAATTCTAATCGTTTATTGAAGTCTATGTCTGTCTTGTTTGGTTGCAAAGCCAAACCAGACAGTTAGAGGTGCAGATGACAGACTCAATAATTCCCCTGTAGAACTGTATCAGTAGCTCCTTGGGCAGTCTCAGCTGAGTTGGCACAGAAAGAACATTCTTTGTTGTGCTTTTTTGATGTTGTTTTTGATCTTAGGTATCCATATTAAGTCTTAAGATATTATAGAACCTAGAAACTTGAAAGTTTTATCTATCATAGAAGTATCTATATTGATACTGTATGGTCTAGTATTGTACGAGGCGATAGTATAGGAGGATTTCTCCTAAAATCTACCATTATTTCTATAGTTTTGAGAGTTCTGGTCACACGACAAGGCTAGTTGTTCAACCTTCCATTTGTATGCAGATTAGTCATTATCTCAAATGAGACAAATCACTGTTGTATCATCTGCAAACTTCAGTACTTTAACAGAGGGATATTTTGAGATTCAGTCATTGGTGTAGAGAAAAGTAAAGAGAGTACACAGCCCTGCTGTGCAAATTGTACAGATATTTGATGTGATTTTGCGTAGCTTCACTTGCTGCTTCCTGCCTATTAGAAAGCTTATGATCCACTTACAAGTATGGTCAGGCACAGCTAGTTGATTTAGTTTAGTTAGAAGAATGAACCAAGGTTTGTTGTTACTGTATTATTCGCAAATTTCTGGTCAGCACACACAGGTCTTCACAAAAACTAACATATGTTACAGTATCTGTGAGTTCATCCAAGTCTGCAGAGGGATCTTCAAAAACGTTCCAATCAGTGCAATCAAGGCAAGCCTGTAGCGTCTGCTTTGCTAAACCCAACTTATTAGCGAATGAACGTACATTAGAAAGAGTGAAGGAAGGAGTTTTTTTCCCACTTTTTCTTAGTCAATTCAAAATCCTTCTCACTTACCCTTTCTATGCATCCATCCTCCTTTTGTTTCTTTATCCATTGTTCATAGAAAGTTGCTTCTTCCTGTATTAGAATCTCTTCTGCATTTGTAAAGAGGATGCAGGGTGTACAGGGGTGGGATTCAACTGGTGTAATAACCAGTCCGGTGAGCACTGAACATGCATACACAGTGTTTAAAAATCACCTTCTCCTACAAGTAATCACCTTCTCCTGCTGATGCGCAGCAATCAGCTGTGCCGCACAAAGCAGCTGAGGCTGAAAAAGCAGGGAATAAAGGACATCCTAGAGCCTGGGCGGCCGGGTGGGCCGAACAGAAGATCGTTGCAGCAACCAGTTCGGTCTCAGCTGATCTTCGGATCCCAGCTCTGGGGTGCAGTCACAGAAAACCTGCCCATTAGCATTTCGCAGAGGTTGCAGATTTAAGACTTGCTGAAATGCTTAACTTAAGGAGTTAATGCGCCATATTTAGGAGTTAATGAGAACAATGACAGCACAATCCTCTCGCGTGATCTCCAGAGGACACATAAAAGCACACCTCATTCTTTTCAGCCTCCACAGATAAGTTCAAATAAAAATTGAAAAATACACATAAGAAATGGCACATCTAAGCGAAGAGACATTAATTCTTTCCTTCCTTAGAGTATGAAAAGGCCAGATCCTATCCTTCTCCCTCCCAGATGATCTGTGATTAGTGATTTTTTTTTTTAAATGAAAAACCGTCAGGGTCATCTGTCTTCTTGAACTCTCTGATTCGGGACTAGAAAACTCTTACCCAGAGCGATCACGTTCCTATGGTTTTCAAGCATGACTTCCGAATGCAGTGCTTTTTGGTCAGAATCTAGCTGAGACCATTCGTCCTCAGAGAAATACACAGCCACCTCCTCGAAGGACACAAGACTCTCCTGAATACAGAAAAAAGAACAGAACAGGATGATTCAGAAGAACTGTTTATCTTCAACAATGATTTAGATAAGAGGATAGAAGAGGAACTCATGAAATTTGCAGACAAGTCCTAATTGATAGGAATACCAACAATCCAGAAAATAGGCTCGAGATATAGAAGGATCGACACATTGGGTACCATCTAACAAAATGAAATTCAGCAGTGAGAAATGTAAGGTTCTACATTTAGGAAAGAAAAACCAAATGCAGAGGCATAAAACAGGTGAGTGCAACAGAGATTTTGGAGTCCTAGTGGACAATCACTTAAACATGAGCCTTCAGTGTGTTAATAGCAACAAAATCATAGGATGCATTAAAAAGGGATAGAATTAAGATCACATGAAGTTTTAATACCACTTTATAGTGCCTTTGTAAGACCACGCCAGCAATATTGCATCCGGTTTTGATTGCCACTATGTTAAAAAGATCTTGAGACTCTAGAAAGAGTGCAGAGGAGGCTAAAACTTATAAAGAACAGTTGCTGGAATTGGGTATGTCTAGTTTAATGAACAGAAGGACTTGGGGTAACATGATACCAAATGTTCCAAGAAGCAATGGATGGAAACTATTCAACGAGAGAACCAACCTACAACTGAAGAGAAATATCCTGAGAGTGGAAGCAATTAATCAGTGAAATGACTTGCCTCCAGAAACTGTGGGTTCTCCAACACTGGAGGTGTTTCAGAAAAAAATGGACAGCCGTTTATCTGAAATGATATAGGGCTTTCCTGTCGGAGCAGGTGGTCAAACTAGAAGATCTCCAAGATCCCTACCAACTCCGTCATTCTGTTCCATTGATCCCAAATTCCCAAAGCAAAGATATGCACCAAGTTAAATGTCTGTGCATCATATAAATCCTAATTTTAGGTGAGAAAATGGTCAAATCTGAAAATTTCTTTGACTGAAGTAATATTTGGGGCAAGTTTTATCAAGTTGATTCTGCAAAACCTTTAGTGCCGTTCAGTAAAGTAATCCAACTTCTGGATCAGCTGATCTCACACTCTGTCTATCATCTATTGATTTCATGGTCTCAGCCATTGGCTGAATGGGAGAAAAAAAAGATGAGAAAATTCTCTGCGAAGGTCGTTTCTCAGCCTTTGCAAAGCGGGAATGTTTGATCTCCTAATTCAGGCACAAATGAGAAGATTGGAAATTATTTTGTACCCCAAAGTACCTTGATCACATACACTACGTGGCCACTCTTTTTGGATTTTAATAGTCTGCTTTCTTTTTTTAATTTGCTTATTTTTTAAACTACTGGTTATAAACATGGCTTTTTAAAAATGGTAATGTGGCAATGTGAACATATAGTTACTTTTCATTAGCCTTGCAAAATTCCAAATCAAAGAATTACAAGAATGGATGTCATGCAGTTACTGCCACTGTGATATGTTTATTCATACTTCTTGAAGAACTTTTAAAAAATTACTTCTTGTAAACTTATAGTTTTATTTATTTTATTTATTGGAATTTATCAAACAAAAATGAGAACAAAAATAAGAGAATAAAAATACGATGACAGGGATGATAGGCACGTCAGTATACTTATGCACGTCCCCTATATTGACCACTTAACTATGAAGTGAGGTCCATGGAAGTCAATTTGTGACTGAAACTGAAAATTTGTAGCTGAGACAACTGAATCAGGTAGGGCATTCCAGACAGTTTGGGGCGGGGGGGGGGGGTACCTAAGGTAGCAGAACAAGTTAAACAGTCATCTTTGAAAACATTTCCTAAATAGAATCTGAGGGTAGAAATGACAAACCATCATGTCCCAGTAATATTCTACACAGGAAGCTTTGCTGGTTGAGACCAACTTGAACCTACTATTGTGCTTTCCATGTTACTCAGGAACATAAAAATAATCCAGTCCAAACAAGGGGAGAAAATAAAAGGAGAGAGCACTCTGCACACCCACTTTACTTCATGAAGGAATACAAATTTTCCCTTTCTTACTTGATTTGGAGGTTCAACAGCTCTTTGAGCTTCATCAGAAAAACCAGAAAACTTCATTCTTTGTTTCTCTGTAAGGAATAAATAATTTCAAAATGCATAATTAACAAAATAGAAGGGGGTATTTATAGAAGAGGAGAGATAGTGAAGGTAAGACAGATGGATAACCAGAGGATCTTCGGTTACCTCTTGAGGTGTCCCAACTTTGGTCTTCACAAGGGATTCTCCTGAAAAATAGCTCCTGAGGGGGATTTGATGAATTCTTCTTTCCCTTTGGATCTCTCATCTCCACAGTGCAGCACTTCAAATCAGAGGAAGAAAAAAAGAAGCAGAATTAATGTACGTCAAACAAAATAAAGTGGATTCTTATATCCGAAACACAACCTCAAAGCCCCCAATATCCATCAGTGAGGTTGAGTGAGAAAACAATGGAACAAAGTCCTACAAGAATATGTGGATGATCTTCACATGTAAATGCCAGAGAAGATTGGGAAGTATTCAAGCACATTCTCTATTCTCTTTTGAGCTCCCCAAAAGTGCCTCACCTCCAACTCAACCTGCTCCTTCTGTTCCTCCACCTGGCTCAGGAGGAAGCCTTCCGCCAGGGCCACCGCCTGGGAGCTGGTCTCTGCTCCACATTCCCGCACCCAACTCTCCATCTCTGGGGGTAGAAGGAACAGGAGCTGCTCCAGAACAACCAGGTCCAGCATCTGAGCTTTGGTGTGCTTTTCTGGACTCAGCCATCGCCTACAAAAGTTGTGGAGTTGGCTGCAAAGTCCTCGGGGACCCTCAGCTTCCTGGTATCGGAGGCTCCTGAAGTTCCAGGCTTGAATTTTTGAGAACCTGGTGGTTTCCTCCATCATGCACTCGATCCAGGATTGAATTCGGAAGACAGCTGGGCATGTATCTCTCTCCCTTCTCAGCCCCTCTTTGCATGGGAAGAGCCCACCCTGCCACGCCTGGATCCCTCCCCTGCAAGTCTCTCCTGCAGCCTTTTCACTGCCGTCGGAACTCCAAGGGTTAAGGAGAGCAAATGCTAATGTTATAGAGAGGCAAGGCTCAGGGATGTCCCTCAGCCTCCTCTGGAAAGCCAGCCAAAACCTTCGCCCTCCAGTGGCGAAAAGGGGAAGCGCCTGTTCTGTTCTTGCACCAAGGCACCCCTGGTGCAATCTGAATCATTTGAATTGGAATAGAGCTGGAAGGGTAGAAAGGGAGCTTTTTCAATGTGGAAAAGGAAGGAGGCTGTCCTATCTCATTTTCTTTTTTTCTAATGTTGATGCTCATCTGAATTGGCTTAAAGGACTCCCCTGGGAGGTCCCATTCCCATTCTAGAATTATAGAAGGGAGGTCTTCTAGTCCAAGCTGCTGCTCAAGCAGGAGAACTATGCAATTTCAAACAGATGGCTGTCTAGTCTCTTCTTAAAAAGCTCCAGTGATAAAGCACCCACAACTTCTAGAGTAGGGGTCGCCAACCTTTTGGACCTCAGGAACCACCAAACTCATAATTTTAAATCCCACAGACCACTAATATGAATTTTGACAGATGGTGGCTTGCTGACGTTTCCCCAGGGTCTCTGCAGAAAGCAGCAGAGACCCTGGGAAAATCCCCCAAAAAGTCTGCAGGAAAATCCCTCACCCCATTTTCCTACCGATCGATCATTCTTTATTTGGGATTGCAGGATAGTCTCCAGCTCCGTTCTGAGGGTGAAAGACTTTTGGCTTCATGCAAGGAAAGCAGCAGAAGCAGCAGTCTTTCTTTCTCTCCCCTAAACTCTGCCAGAAATGTGTCTTTGTGAGACTTGTCACGCCGGTGCAGCCTCTTGGAGCAGGATGCCTTGCAGGGTCCCAAAACTCATTTCTGGCAGAGTTTGGGGAAGAGAAAGAAAGACTTTTGCTGCTTTCTTTGCATGCAGCCCAAAGCAGAAGAAGCAGAAAGCATCCCAGTGGCCAGGCGTGGGGCATGTGGGGCAAGTTCCCTTCCTTCCGCCCTTCCCCCCCCTTCATTACCTTATGTTGTTCGCAATACAAGCAACGCAAGCCTTATGTTCCCGTGGATCATGTGGGCAGCGCAGCCTTGTGTTCCTGCAAAGCCTGGATTAATTGCTTTGGGAGGGTGCTTTGGGGAGGTGCTTTGGGGGTGACATTTCTCTGTGGACCATCAAAATTTTCTCACAGACCACCAGTGGTCCACGGCCCACTGGTTGGCAACCACTGTTCCAGAGGGTGTCTATTCAACTGATTAAATGTCCTCATTGGCAGGAAATTTCTCCTTTATTTATTTTATTTGGTTTGTCAATTGCTTACAAGACAAACATAGTTATGAATACATGGATACACATAAGAAAAATAAAAGAAACAATAGGACAGGGACGGTAGGCACGTTGGTGTGCGTATGCTTCTCTCCTTGATTAGTTTCCATACATTATTTCTTCCCCTCAGGTGTGTTGGAGAATTTGACCCCCTTTTCTTTGTGATAACCCCTCAAATACTGGAATACTGCTATATCACCAGGGGTGGGATTCTACCAGTTCGGCCCAGTTCTATAGAACCAGTAGCTCCGAAGAACAGTTGTCACCAAACTAGTTTGCTGTGACGACCTTCTAGTCATCTGTTTGGCCCACCCACCCACGTGGGCTCTTAGCTATCCTTTATTTCCTGCTTTTCAACATCAGCTGCTTTGCGCAGCACAACTGAACTGTGTAGGAAACGACTTTCAAACACCGCGCACACCCATGCAGCACTTGTCAGCTGTCTGGGCAGCACAGCTGATTTTTTTCAAATGCTTCACACATGCGCACAGCGCACATCAGCCACAAAACGCACTCTTACCAAACCGGTTGTAACACCAGTTGAATCCCACCCCTGTATATCATCCCTAGTCCTTTCCTCTAGAATAGGCAACCCCAAACCCTCAACTGTTCTTCATGTTTTAGTCTCCAAGCCTTTTTAATTCCTTGTAGGCCAGGCAAGGAATTATGGATGGAAACAGAACAAGTGATTTAACCTGGAAATAAGAAGAAATTTTCTGACAGTGAGAACAATCAACCAATGGAACAGCCTGCCCTTGGACATTGTGGAAGCTTTATCACTGGAAGCTTTCAAAAAGAGATTAAGCTGTCATTTGTCAAAAATGGTGTAGGGTCTCCTGCTTGGGCAGGGGGTTGAACTAGAACTAGATGATCTACAAGGTTCCTTCCAACTCTGTTAACCTGTCCTTGTTGCTCTTCTCTGCATTTTTTCCAAGGTCTCTTTTGTAATGTTAGAACCAAAACCAGATGCAATATTTCAAGTGTGGTCCTAAGGTTTTAAAAAGTGGTACTGATACTTCTTGTGGTTTTGATTCTATACTTCAGTTTGTATAACCAAGCTGTTCTTCTGGAGGATCGTGATAAGATCTTTCACATGATCCTTTTCCCAAGGTGCCTGCTGCATTCCAACCACAGCAAAACAAATACCATAAATGTTCCATGAATTCATTTTTTGGGGGGGGGGTTGAGAAGATCCTAATCCTATTAAGTCCTGAGGTGAAAGTCTTTTGTGTTGTGGATAAGCCCAGCCTTTTGTCTTATAGATAGAATGGCCCAGTCTTTCTGGAGCTATTAACAAAGGCTTTCCAAGAGCACGTTTCTCCTTTTCTCATCCAGACAGGTATAATATTCAGCCTTTTTAGTATTTCCTAGAATATTTCATTCTTCTGGGAGAAGGCTGGGTGCTAACTTTTTACAGACACACACAAAGAGATTTGCTACACCGGGCTATTTAAATAGAGGGAAAAGTGGTTAAAAATCAATTTAAAAAGAATTGAGTTAGCCTGTTGTTTTTAATGAGCAATATTTGAAGAAGAAAAAAATCCTCAACCCAGCAGGAGCCTCTGAAATCCTGATATCTGTCTGCTACCCAAACACCTACAAATATTTGTATACGTTAGCAATTTTTAATGCACCCAGAGAGGATTTGATACACGCCTGGAAAGCAACCACACTATTGCTATTTATTTGGATGTATTAAAGTCCAATGTACACTTTGTCCTAGCTCTTAGCTCACCATAGAAAAGCAAAACATGGCCTGGCTTCTCTCCTCTCCTGTTGGCCTCTGCAAGGCCAACCCACCCCTCCCCCCACTCGGGCTCTACCCCGGACACGGGGCGGGAAGGCAGCCCCGCCGCCTTCTGGCATCCCCGCTTCCCCTTGCATGGGGAGGGCGGCTGGGGAGCATGGGACCCGGGGTTGAAGCCACAAGAAGGGCCGGGAAGGGGCGTGGGTCTCTCCCTCCTCCGCCTCCCTTCACCCGGGGCACGTCTGGATCTCCCCACCACCACGACTCTCCTGCAACCTCTCCGCCTGTGGAGCCCCAGAGGTTAAGGCGAAGGAGTGCAAGGTCCTAGAGCGGCGACCGTTTGTGATGTCACGCCTCCTCTGGAAAGCCAACTGTGACGTCCCCTTCCAGCAGCCCAATGGGGAAGCGCCCGGCGTTACCTTCTCTTGGCCGAGGTCGCCCCCTGGAGGATTTTGCCTAAAACTTCCCGTAAGAGCGGGAAAGACACTGGGCGAAGGAGAAAATGGCGCTTCCCCAAAGGGATGGGGGTGGGGTGGGGGGTGGGGCGCTTTTTTCCCGCCTCCAAAAGATTTCCCTGCTATTCGCTTTCCAGGAATCCTCCTTTCTCTCGCTCTGAAGGGAAGCCATTCCGACCCTGGTTTCATCAACATCTTCTGAGGTAAAATTTACCTCAGACTTCATGTTCTCTGAACCTTTCCTGCCTAAGGAATCTGCTTTGCATTTTGTGAGCTGAGCCTGTGCGGTATCCCAAAGGGGAGCCTGGCCAAAGGGCACCTTTAAGACGTTTTATCATCTGTGTGTCTAGCCATCCATCCATCCAATGTGAAAAGGAGACATCGAGCCAGCGTACCTTCGGTCCGGTCTACTCAGTGCGAAGAGGAGACATGTGCCAGCAGTTTGGGGCGTGGCACCAAGCTGCCCACACCCACCCAGTTGTCCCACCTGCCTCCTGGCCACGCCCACCCAGTTGCCAGACTCACTGTCAGCCATGCCCAATGAGCCCTGTCAAGCTGGCCACAGCCACCCAGTTGGCCCACCTGCCAACCCTCCAGGGCCAGCCACAGCCCTGATGCGGCCCTCAGTGAAATGGAGTTCGACACCCTTGCAGACAGAACAACCCCAGTACAAATTCTATCATTTCCTCCCTCACTGATGAAATATTTCACAAGATGAAATATCTGTACAATATTGCCTCAGACATCCTTCCCTCAACCCGAGCTGCAACATTTTCAACTTTTATGGAAGAGAGAAAACTCATGGTGATAAACCATGAGGATATTAAGGGATCAGAGGGACGGGAAAACAACTAGAATAAGAATAGGGTGTAGGAAGTTAGCACACACCCTTCTCCTAGAAAATTGAAATATCCTAGGAAATATTAAAAAGGCAGAATATTTCCCCTAAAAAGAGTGCAAACTCAAGAGCAGAAACACCCCAGAAGCAGCAGCTCACCCCTACCTTTGTTAATGAGTGGGTGATTAAGGCCTGGGCCAGAATCAGGGGTGGGATTCTACAGGTTCGCACCTATTCTCTAGAACCAGTTGTTAACATTCTAAGCAGTTTGGAGAACCAGTTGTTAGAAAAAATTACTGGCCTAATCCTGTAAAGAAGGCAGCAAGGAAACATTCTGGTGTTGCTTACAGAAACTGCCTCTCCTTTAACCCAGGGGGTCTCCAACCATGGCAACTTTAAGACTTGTGGACTTCAATTCCCAGAATTTCCCAGGCAGCTTTGCTAGCTGAGGAATTCTGGGAGTTGAAGTCCACAGGTTTTAAAGTTGCCAAGGTTGGAGACTCCTGCTTTAACCCTTACTACATTCTTGGCAGGACTAGACTTCCTGTCTCAGGACCATCTCTGAAGTTATTTTTCCCTCCTTTGCTGGTACTTTGCTTGTGGGGAGTGACCATTCAAAGTTACAATAGCACTGAAAAAAGTGACTCATGACCATTTTTCACACTTATGACTGTTGCAGCATCCCCATAGTCATGAGA